GAAGTACCAACGCTGTTCTCGGCGCGCACGCCCTCCAGCGACAGCGAGTTGGCGCGCACCATGATCTGCCGAGGCAATCACCTCCGCGAGGATTGCCAGACGGCATAGGCGGAGCGGACTTGCGCCACGACCTGCCGCCTGGTCGCGGTGGTGTTTTCCAGCGCCTCGCCACGCAGCGCCTCGGCTTTGGCGGACCTGCGCCGCCGGACGACCGCTACTGGAACAGCGGCATAGTCAATTGCGCGCCCACCGTGGCGTTCACGCGAGGTCGGCACGTTGCCTGCGCCCGCCCGGCACGTTGATCGAGCCGGAGATAGTTGAAATAGTTTCCGCTCGACACCGCCGCGATACGCGGCAGCCGGTTGGCGCGCGCGACATTGATGTCGTAGCGAGCCGCGTCGGCGTTGCGTCGCGCCGCGATCAACTGCGGGTTCTGCTCCAGCGCGACGCCCACCGCCTCGTTGGGCGAGGCCGGCAGCGCAGGGAGCGCGGGCGGCTGTTCCAGCCCCACCGGCGCGACGCCCACCACTGGACATAATTTTCGCGGCTGGAAATCAGATTGGCCTGCGCCGACTGCAACTGCGCGCGCGCCTGCGCCAGCCGCGCCTCGGACTGCGCCACATCGGTACGGGTCAGATCGCCTACCTGAAACCGATCGCGCGAGGCGCGCAAATTAGTCTCCAGCACGTTGACGTTCCGGGTGTTGAGGTTGACGATCGCCTCGTCCCGGATGACGTTCATATGAGGCCACCACATTGGTAAACAAATTGGCCTCGACCCGCGGAGTTGCGCCTCCGCATCGACCCGCGTCTCCGCCGCGCACCGCATTCTTGACGCGCCGCCGCCTTGATAAAGCCAGGACCGACAATTGCAGCGCACCGTCGCCACCGTTCCGGGTTCAGGAGTTGTTGTTCGCGACAATGACGTTGTCGGTGAACTGCGCCTGCGACTGGAGCGACGGCAGGCCGTTGGACCGTGCGATCGGCACATTCTCATCGGTCGCGCGCTGGGCGGCGCTGACCCGGTGATCGTCAGGTTGCTCTGATACGCCCGCACCATCGCCTCGCGCAGCGTTTTCCGCCAAGCGGACCCGGCCAGCAACAGCGCCGGAACCGATCAGGACGCCAGAGGTCAGGGACGGACGCATCGACATCAGAACTGGAACGCTCGGGGGCGAGCGAAGCCCAGCAGGATGGCGCATTCGGCATCGGCGAAGGGACGCACGCCGTGACCACCCTCGGTCCGACGACCGCTGGCGAGACAAGTCACGCCCTTGTCGACCAGACCGGTGACGATACGACCGCCGACACGCACCTGCTCGATCAATGCGGAGGGATTTCCTCGACCGCGCCGTCGATGACCAGCACGTCATAGGGCGCTTCGGCCCGATAGCCGGCGGTCAGCGGCGCCTCGATCAGCTTGACCTTGGCATCGCCGGCCAGCGCGGTGCGAGCGGGCGGCGAGCAGCTCGGCACTCCCTCGACCCGCAACGACCTCGGCCACGATCCCCACGGCAAGCAAGGCGGCCGTATAGCCAGTGCCCGCACCGATCAGCAGGACGCGGTCATTGGCTTCCAGATAGGCCTCGGTCAGCAGACGGCCGGTCGCCATTGGAAGGTTGACCGCACGCCCCCTGCCCCGGTCGATCGTGCCGTCACGATAAGCCACTTCGCGCGCAGGCCTTCGGGCACGAACGCCTCACGCGGAACGCGCGCCATCTGCGCCACGACCCGCTGGTCGTTGACCGCCGTAGTACGCAACTGGCTCGCCACCATTGCGTGGCGCATGGCGTCGAAATTCGAGGATCGTTGCTGGTCGTCATCATGGCCCATCCCTGTCGCACAGCCGTTTTGGTTGTGCAATACACTAATTTGGTTCCCGCCGCTTCTATCGCGCCCACTCGGTTCCGCCAAGCGGAGGGATGCCGGCTGGCGAACCGATCGGCGTCCGCTTTGCGACAAAATGTGACAGGAGAGCCAATCGCACGCCTTCCCGTTTCACCGGCATTCCGGCGCTTCCCGCCACTCCGGCTCATTCTGGAGTAGCCCCATGGAACGGAGTACAGGCTTTCTTGGTGCCGGCATTATCGGCGCCGCTGTCCGGGCGGATCGATCACCGCCGGCTATCTGGAGCAGAGGTTGAACGCACAGCCCGCAGTCGCGACATTCGGACAAGGCGTATCCGGAGGCGCAGAAAATGGAACGGCGGCGGGTAGAGCGGCGGCCGTAGCGGTGGCGGAGACGGCAGTGCAATAAAGCCCGGACATGGCGGGCTTTGGTCGGGGATTTAAAGTTGATCGGGAGGTGGATAGCCGCCCCTAATGCAAAAACGATGGCCGCTTTTTCTACAGATCGGTGGGCGGCGGTGGCACCCTACCCAGCCCGCAGATGGCAGCCAACGCCTGAAAACGATCGGGCCAATTCAGACTGACGCGGCTGGACAGTATATTGCGCGGGATCGCGAGGCCTCACCGGCTGTGATGGCCCGGAACAAGACTCACCAGAGCCGTGTCATCTGTCCCTTCAAAACACAGGCAGGACGTTGCCGCTTCGATATGCTGTACAACCCCGTGAGCGCTTCCTCAATCGCCCGCCACCGGCCCTGATTCCCCGCGAGACCGGAACAGGAACAGCGCGTAGTTTTCGATCCACCGCACACTCGCTGTTGACAGCGGGACAAAACCGCAGAAATGCCCGCCTCCCACGCATCGAGGCGCGATGGCGGAGGGGTGACGCAGAGGACTGCAAATCCTTGCACCCGGTTCGATTCCCGGTCGCGCCTCCAGATTTTTCGGAGCGGATCGATCGCATCTGGCTTGCGGCGCAAAGCCAATCGATCCCGACACACTCCTGGCGATAGACCCCAACCTCTTGGACCGCGTAAGTCCGACCCTTCGGTAGTGAGGAAGGGGATGCGGATGCGCGCGATGACGATGACGGCGGCCTTTGGCTCTGGCCAACGCCACCCTCGGTGGCATAGGCCCGAACGACGGCCGCACGCCCCCGACACAGGGCGCGCCGGTCGAATATGACATCGCCTTTCCGCATCCTGAACATCATGAGGCACAGGTCAGCGTCACCTATCGTGGGCTGCCAGCCGGGCCAGTGCAGTTCAGATGGCGCGCTCCTCACCCGGGGCGCTACGCGCTCCGCTGAGTTCGCCAAGAATGTCTGTTCGGTGTCGGCGACCGACGGCACAGGCCGCCCGCTCGCGGTGACGCGCAGCGATCCCTATGGCTGGGGCGTAGAGCGTCACGACAGCTTTGGTCACCGTCCGCTACACGCTGTTCGGGCGATCGCGGCGACGGCACCTATGCGCAGATCGATCCGACCCATGCTCATTTGAACACCCCGCCACCTTTCTCTGGGCGGTCGGGCAGGATCAGCGCCCGATCCGGGTCCGCTTCACCTGCCACCGGCTGGAAGATCGCGACGCAGTTGGCACCGACGACCGATCCCAACGTCTTCACTGCGCGCGATCTGCGGTATTTCATGGACAGCCCGGTCAGGCTGTCGGCGCATGACATGCGCAGTTGGACCGTCGCGGACGGCGCGAAACGCTATACCATCCGGCTGGCGGTGCATCATCGGGCGTCAGCCGACCTCGATCGCTTCGCCGCCATGGCGCAGAAGGTCGTGGCGGGAAATCGCCGTCTTCGGCGCCCCGCCGCCCTTCGACTATGGCACCTACACCTTCTGGCCGACTATATGCCGCAGATCAGCGGTGATGGCATGGAACATCGCAACTCGACGGTGATCAGCACCCCGGTCGCTGGCCGATGCGAAGTTTCAGCAGATCCAGACGCTGGCACGAGTTCTTCCACGCACGGAATGTCCGAGCGCATCCGCCCGGCCGAGCTGGAGCCGTTCGACTTCACCCGCGCCAATGCCACGCCCTCGCTGTGGCTGGCCGAGGGTTCACCAATATTATGGGCCGTTGTCAGTGCTGCGCGCCGGCGAAATGACGCTCGACGCCTATGTCGAGCAATTGTCGCGGACGCTCAATTCGCTGCTCACCACCCCGGCGCGACGCTATGGCGATCCGCAGGAAAATGAGCCTGCGCGCGCCCTTCGTCGACGCGGCCCAGTCGATTGATCCGACCAATCCCAACATCTACGTCTCTTATATCCTTACGGCGCGATCATCGCGCTCGCGCTCGACACGGAACTGCGCCAGCGTTTCCCCGCGCTCTCGCTCGACGCCTATATGCGCCAGCTCTGGCGCGACATGGCCAGCCCGAACGCGCCTATCGCCCCGACGATCTGCGCCGCTCCACTGGCGCAACTGACCGGCGACCCGGTTTTGCCGATGGCTTCTTTGCCCGCAGCGTGACGGCGAGCGGCCTGCCGACTTCGCCCCTCCTCGCCCAGGCCGGATTCACCCTGCGTGTGCCGCGCATCCCGGGCCCCACAGGCCGGTGCGGCACCGGCGGTGCAGGACGGCAAGCTGACCGTCTCCGCGCCTACCCGGCCGGGCACCGCGCTTTATGACGCGGGGCTGGACAAGGATGATGTGATCGTCGCTGGACGGACAGCCCATGCCGACCGTCAAAGTGGACCGTACTGCTCGACCGTCACGTGCCCGGCGACCGCCTGCCGATCATCTATCGCGGCCGTACCGGGGAGCGACAGGCAGTGCTGACGCTCACCGCCGATCCGAAGATGGAGATCGTGGCCAATGAGGAAGATCGGCCAGCCACTGACCGCCGTGCAGCGTCGCTTCCGCGACAATTGGCTGGGTAACGGGGTGCCCTCCCCGTCCTGATCGATCACCGATCGGCACGGGAACGTGATGATCGGCGCGCGTGTTGATATAGGTCAGATTTTGGGGCCCAACCGGATGATCCGCCCTTGCGGCATGGGGGAACCATGCGAATGCGCGTCAGGGAGCCTGTTCAGTGCACGATCTTGCTATTCCGGGTCATTTGGCCGCGTATTTGGATAAATCACCCATCGCACTGGCCCCGGCTGATGCGAATGACGACAACCCCTTGATTTTCATCAATCATGGTTTCCGGGAACTGACCGGCTATACCAGCGAGGAGATGATCGGGCGGGTGTCGGATGCTGCAGCGCGACGCCGACAATGTCGAGGCGCGCGATCGCGTTCAGGGAATTCCTGACCAATGACCGCCAGTTGAATGTCCGCACGACGCTGATCAATTTCCCGCAGGACGGCTCGCCCTTCGTCAACCTGCTTTTTACATGTCGAAGCTGCGGCAATTGGGCGGTCACATGCCCTATATCTTCGCCTCGCAGTTCGACGTCAGCCGTTCGCAGCCCGAGCGCCTGTCCGCCTATGACGCGGAACTGGGGCGTACGTCGGGCCGACTGACCCTCGATCACGCCGAAAAGCGGCATGGTGCTGGAAGGTCGCTGACCGCCATCGCCAATACCGCCGCGACGATCGCGCAAAGCCAAGCCCGACCCTGTCCGACCTCGACCGAGCCGCCTTTCCCGTGAGAGCGACGCGGCTGTCGCCCCACCATTCTGACGGGACCAGACCGCATGAGCGGGTTGAGCACGACATCGCACCGGTGCCGGTGGTGGGCATCGGCGCGTCGGCCGGCGGGCTGGAGGCGTTGCGCGGATGCTGACGCCCGCGCGCGCCGTTCCGGCACGGCGCTGTGGTGGTCCAGCATCTCGACCCCAATCACGAAAGCATGCTGGCCCAGTTGCTCGACCGTCACCAATCTGGAAGTGCGGCAGTGCGAAGGTCAGAGCGGATCCGAGCCCGACCATGTCTATATCATCCCGCCGGGCCGGGGCCTCGCCATTCGCGGCGGCGTGCTGGAACGACCGATTTCGTCCAGCCGCGCAGATTGCGTCGGCCGATCGACGACTTCTTCCTGTCACTGGCGAGCGATCAACAGGCCAATGCCGCCTGCGTCATCCTGTCGGGCACCGGCGCGGATGGAACGACGGGCTTGCGCGCTATCAAGGAAAATGGCGGCGTCAGCGTGGTGCAGCGGCCCGAAAGCGCGCGCTATGACGGCATGCCCTTGTCGGCAGTGGGCACCGGTCTTGTCGATTTCGTCAAGCCGGCGGGCGAAATCGTCGATTGCCTGCGAGCGTTTTCACGCGCCGCACGGGCGAGCCCAAGCACCACGAGGCCGAGGTCGTCGCCGATCATATCGACGATCTGTGCCGCGTCCTACGCAACGCTGTGGGCCATGATTTTTCAGGCTATAAGCGCACCACCCCGTCCGCCGGGTCGAGCGGGCGCATGCATGTCGGCATCCCGACGGGCTCGGCCTATCTGGCGCGGGTCAAGGGCGATTCGACGAGTGCGAAGCGCTGTTCCGCGACCTGCTGATCAACGTCACCCGCTTCTTCCGCGATGCCGAACTGTTCGAAACGTTGCGAACCAAGGCGATCCAGCCGCTGATCCGTGCGCGCGACCCGGACGAGGATATCCGCATCTGGGTCCCGAGCTGCTCCAGCGGCGAAGGGCCTATAGCATCGCGATGCTGTTCGCCGAGGAATTGCGCGAGGCAGGGCAGCCGCTGGCGTGCAGATCTTCGCGACCGATATCGACGAACAGATGCTGCAGATCGCACGCGAGGCAGCTATCCGGCGGCCGCCTTGGGCGATATCCCGGCACCCTTGCGCGAACGCTATACGATACCGCATGCGGGCGGTTCACCATCTCGGGCGAGATCCGGGACATGATCCGCTTCTCCAACCACAGCACGGTCAGGATCCGCCTTTCTCGCGGATCGACCTCGTGTCGTGCCGTAACCTGCTGATCTATTTCGACGATCGGTTGCAGCAATCGGTGCTGCCGCTGCTCCATTATGCGCTGCGGCCGGGCGGCTATCTGTTCACAGGCCGTCAGAAAGCGTCGGTCGGTTCGACCATCTGTTCCCCGCCATCGACGGCCATGCCCGGCTGTTCGAACGGTCGCCGGGTTCGCCCTCCTACCCCATCGACCTGCACAGGGCAGCGCACCACCGCCCCGCCGACGCGGGGAGAGGGCGAGCGTGAGGACGGCCCGACGCTGGGCGATGAGAGCGTGGCGGTGCGGCGCATCGTCGATCGCTATGCTCCGCCCAGCATGATCGTCGATCAAGACGGTGGCATCTGGCGGCGTTCGGCAAGCTCAGCCGCTATTTCCAACTTCCCCCGTGACGCGGGCCGGCGGCTCCAGCGCGATGACGCTGGCGCGCGCAGCCTGCGCGAGGTGATGGGGCCCGATGCTCCCGCGGGCCCGCGACGCGCGCAAACGGATCGCCGCGCGCGATGTCGCGGTGACCACCGAATATGGCGTGCAGCGGATCGGAGGTGATCTGCGACCCGCTGACCGATGGATCGCTGCTGTTCCTGTTCCGCGATTCCGCACGTTCCAGCCCGGTCGAGGAAAGCGACCTCGCCGATCTGGAGCCGGGCGACGATCATATCGAGGCGCTGGAAGACGAATTGCGGCTGACTCGCCACCGTCTGCGCTCGACGGTCGAGGAACTGGAGACCGCGAATGAGGAGCTGAAGAGCTCCAACGAAGAAATGATGTCGATGAACGAGGAGCTTCAATCGACAAACGAGAGTATTGTCGACGGTCAATGACGAGCTGAAGACCAAGGTCGACCAGCTCACCATCGCCAATGCCGATCTGCGCAACTTCTTCAGATCGACCGATCTGGCGGTCGTAGTGCTCGACAGCGATCTGCGGGTGCGCAGCTATACCGAGGCGGCCCGTTCGATCTTCCCGCTCCAGCCCAGCGACCGGGGGCGGTTGCTGGCGGATGTGTCGACACGGCTGGCCAACACCGATTACCTCGACGACGCGGCCTCCGTCGCAAGCGGCGGGGCGCCGATGCACAACAGCGGTGATGACCCGCGATGGCGCGCGGACGCTGTCGCTGCGCATCCTGCCCTATCGCACGCAAGGGACGGCATCGACGGCGCGACGCTGGTGCTGACCGACATCACCGATGCGCTGAGCATGGAACGTGCCACGGCGGCGGAGCGCGAGCGGCTGGACACGGCGATCAAGGCGGGCGGTATCGGCGTCTGGGGAGTATCAGGCGGATACGGGCGAATCCATTCTCGACGATATTTGTCGCGAGCTGTTCCGCGTCACCGCCGATGAGGATGCCCATTCCGGCGTCTGTTCGACCGCATCGTCGCCGAAGATCGCGGGCCGTCAGACTCGCACTGGCCGAGGCGATCGCGGCGCGGGGCGATTTCGAGACGACCTTCCGCATCACCGCCGATGGCAAAGAACGCTGGATCAAGGGCTGCGGCCGCGTCATCACCCATGCGCCGCCGCACCGAATGGTCGGCGGTCGATCGACGTGACGGCCGAATATGCCGTTGCCGGACGCGCGAGCTGATGCTGCGCGGATGAACCACCGGGTGAAGAACCTGTTCGCGATCATCTCCGGCATCGTGTCCGCCGCCTCGCGCTCGCATGACGATGTCGCCGAAATGGCCGAGGATGTGCGTGAACGGATCGCGACGCTCGGCCGAGCGCATTCGCTCGCCTCGCCCGCCGGCGAGCAACAGGCGATCGAGCTGGGCGCGCTCGTCGAGGCGACGATCGCGCCCTATAAGGCAGTCGCGCATCACGATGGACGGCCCGCGCGTGCTGGTCGATCGGCGCTGCTTGTCGCCGCTGGCGCTCATCCTGCACGAATGGGCAACCAACTCGGTCAAATATGGCGCGCTGGCGAGCGATCGTGGCGTGTTGGCGATCAGTTGGCTCCTCTACGACGGCCAGATCCAGCTCGAATGGTCGGAAACCGGCGGATCGACAGCCGATGCCGAGCCCGCCAAGGGCTTCGGCACCTTGCTGGTGCAGACGTCCTCGCGACACCAGGGCGCATCCTTGGAGCAGGATGCCAGCCAAGGGCGTTATCTCCTCCGCCTCGTTTTGCCGGATACGGTGTTATCGCATGACTAAAAAGATATTGCTGGTCGAAGACGAGTTCTTCGTCGCCCTCGACCTTCAGACGATCATCGAAGACGGCGGCTATGCGGTCGACGGCCCCTATGTCAGCGTGCAGGAGGTGCTTGACCATCTCGACGGCGATCAGCCGGAATTGGCCTGCGCGATTCTGGACGTTCCGCCTGCGCGATGGCGAAGTCTTTCCCGCGGCCGAGCGGCTGCACGATGCCGGCGTGCCGCTGATCTTTCATTCAGGCCATGCCGATGAACGTGCGCTGCAATCGCGCTATCCGGGCGCGGCGGTGTGCGGGAAACCCTGCTCGCCAACGCTTCTCCGCCGCACGCTGTCCATGGCCGTCGCCGGCCCGGACGAAGGCCGATCGCGCGGCAAGCTAAGCGCGCCTCGCCATGGTCGAGCGGCGCGAATATTGCGCCATAGCCCTCCATCTATCTGATTTTCCACAAGTTCATGGCGATGCCGCCATGGCTCTTTTACTGTAGGACATTATCGCGGACACTTCGCCCATAAGGAAATGGAATGGGAGGGCGATGTACGTCCAGATAAAGGTCGTAACACCGGTCGGCGGATGCACGGCATGCGATGGTCGGTCGCGATGCTGGGGCTCGCCATGGCGAGCTACAGTCCGACAATTGCGCAATCCCCCTCGGCTGATGTTACGCGGACCGCAGCGGACAGGGCTCCGTCACGACCCTGTTCTGAACGCGCCCCTGCGCGCTCGTATCACGCTGCCGAGACGGCCGCCGATCTGTCTGATACCGCTCCTATGGCAGGCACCGAAAACGTTTCCATAGGCTGGCGATCGTCCGATCCGGCGATCCTGTCGGATCGTGATCGCGGCAAGGGCGAGGACATCGTCAGGAAAGGCGCGGTCCGACGCGGCGACCGCGACCAGATGGTCCGTTGACCGCCACGATCACTGCCCCCGGTGCCCGCTCCCGTTACCGTGCCGTTCGATCTGCGCGTGCCGGCGAAGGTGACGTCCGATCCCAAACAAGCCTATCTCTTCGTCTATTTCACCGCCGACACGATCGAGGGGGAGAAGCTGCGCTTCGCCACCTCGGACGGAAATAATGCGCTGCAATGGAAGAACCTGAACGACGCGCAGCCGATCACAGAATCGACGATGGGCACGCGGGGCTTGCGCGATCCGTTCATCCTGCGATCGCCCGGGGCGACCGGTTCTTCCTGCTGGCGACCGACTTGTCAGCCGGGCGGACCGGCTGGGGCGGTGCGACCGATCATGGCAGCCAGTATCTGGAGATCTGGAGTCGACCGACCTCATCCATTGGGGTGAGCAACGGCACGTCAAGGTCAACACCCCCGCCGCCGGCATGACTGCAGGCGCCGAGGCGCATTATGATCCCAGTATCGACGCTTATGTCGTCTATTGGACCTCCACCCTGTTCCGGGACGCCGCGCACAAAGAGAGAATGACAGGGAACGGCCCGCAGATCCTGACCTCGATCACCGCGACTTCCGCCACTTCACCATGCCCGCCCACGGTTCCAAGCCGCCGACCTGCCCTTCCTAGTCAAGGAAAAAGGATGATCGATTCGACCGTGCTGAAGGACGGGATTATTATTACGCTTCACCAAGGTGTCGGAGGCGTCAGGTTGCCATCGTCCGATATCATGGGCCAGCGGTCGCTCTCGCTGCGCGCGACGACCGAGTCTGGCGCATGGGAGGTGATCGACCGCTGCATCGGCCGCCGCGCCAGCACACCCGAAGTGGAAGGGCCGAGCGTCTTCGCCGCCAATCCCGGCGACACCAGCGGCTTCCGCTATTATCTTTGGGTCGATGACTATGGCGGCAAGGGAGGTATATCCGCTCGCG